ATGTGGTCTCTCTCCCTGGAGGGACACATCCTGATTACCTAATTCCAGTATTTCCAGTATTAGGTGCAAGTTAGCAAGAGCCAAGGCTTGGTGACCCCAGAGTGTGCATTGGGGTAACTGCTGGAGTCTAACCAGCTACAACCACACAGCTTTGTTGCCAAACATGTCACCTTGGAGCCAATTCAACTCCAATGAGACCCCATTTACCTCCCCCCCCCACCAACAGGAAGATATCAAATGCGCTCTAACAAATGCAATGATTAATACAGCAAGTACAGCCACGACACTGGCAGACCACCGCCAGCAATAGCATGTCCACTTAGCAACAGTTAGTGACCTCAAGTAGGAGTTTATTGTTTCATTAGTGAGACTGATGGACTGTTTTAACAATGGGTAATTGAGTTGTAAAACTATCATTTTGATCTGTTTCACCAGTCGAGGGGTTAAAAAAAAATTCTTCCCCCAGTGGGACGCTGCTGTTTGCAATTGGCTGCTGTGTTTCGCCCACAAAATATACAGTCGATTCACTTTACAGTATATTCTGTGAAGCACTTTGAGACGTCTCGAAGACGTGATAAGGCACTACAACAACAACAAGCTTACATTTGTATAGCACCTTTCACGTCGGGATGATGTCCCAAGGCGCTGGACAGTGTACAGCATTTCAGACCCGAGCTGGGGTCAGGGAAGGAGAAGGGAGGGGAGGGGAAGGGGGATGACCAATGGCATGGTCGAAGAGGAGGGTCTTGAGGCGGGTCTTGAAGGAGGCTAAGGAGGGGGCGAGGCGGAGTGATTGGGGGATGGAATTCCAGAGGTTGGGGGAGGAGTGGCTGAAGGCTCTCCCACCAATGATGCAGGCCGGAGCTGGCTGAGCGGAGGGCACTGGCGGGTTGGTAGGGGGTAGGAGGTCACAGAGATAAGGTGGGGCGAGGCCATCGAGGGCTTTGTATGTGAGGACCAGGATCTTGAACCTCTGAAGGATAGGGAGCCAATGGAATCGGACGAGAATGGGGGAGATGGGGTCACGGAGTTTGGTGCGGGAGAGGACACGGGCTGCAGAGTTCTGGATTATCTGCAGCTGTGGAGGGAGAAGTTGAGAAGGTTGACAAGTAGGGCGTTTGCATAGTCGAGCCTGAAGGTGATGAAGGCACCAACAAGAGTTTCAGAGGCCTGAAGGGTGAGGTAGTGGCGGAGTCGGGCGATGTTACGGAGGTGAGGGAAGGTCATGGTTTGGATGTGGGGGAGAAAAGACAGTTGAGGGTCGAACAAGACACCCAGGTTCCTGACTGGCTGGTGAGTTGGTGAGTTGTAGTGTCCAACCACGGAGGGTGATGCTGCCAAAGCCTGAGGTGCAGAGGCGCTGGCGCGAGTCAATCAGGAGGGCCTCAGTCTTGTTCACATTCAACTGTAGGAAGTTTGCCCTCATCCAGGACTTGATGTCTGACAGACAGTCTGTCAGGACAGCAGTGGTCCTGGAGTTGAGGGTGGAGGCAGAAAGATAGAGTTGGGTGACATCCGGGTACATATGGAAGTTGACCCCATGTCTGTGGATGATGTCACCAAGGGGGAGCATGTAGATATTAAAGAGGAGACAAGGACAGAGCCCTGGGGGACGCCAGACATGACAGTGCGGGGGATGGAGGAGAAACCATTACAGGCAACAAAATGGAGACGGTGAGAGAGATAGGAATCGAACCAGACAAGGGCAGTTCCGCGAAGATTGAGTAAAGAGGAGAGGTGGTGTATGAGGATGGAGTGGTCGACAGTGTCGAAGGTGGCAGAGAGGTCGAGGAGAACAAGGAGGCAGAGGGAGCCCTGATCACAGATGTTTAGAATGTCATTAGTGACTGTAACCCCCAGGGCTGTTTCCATGCTGTGGGCAGCGCTGAAGCCAGATTGGAGGGATTCAAAGAGGGAATGGCGAGAGAGAAAGGAGCGGAGCTGGGACGCGATGACTTGTTCCAGAACCTTGGAGAGGAATAGGAAGTTAGAGATGGGGCGGTAGCTGGAGAGTAGGGATGGGTCCAGAGAAGGTTTTTTCAGGATGGGTGTGATGACGGCTGTTTTTAGGGAGGTGGGAACTGAACCGGTGGACTAGGAGAGGTTGATGACGTCGGACAGGAGAAGGACCAGAAGGTGGAGCTAGGAGATGAGGAGAGAGGTGGGGATAGGATCAAGAGAGCAGGAGGGGGGGTGGTTTGAGTTTGCGAACAATCACGGAGGAGGGAGGGAGAGATAGGGTCGAAGAAGTATAGGGGGGGATGGGTGGGGCGTGGGTCATAAGGGAGAGGTTATGTGGGGGTGGCTGTGGATGGGGCTGAGGTGGCTGAACGTATCCCCTCGATTTTGGTTTCGGGGAAATCCGGCATCTCCTCGCAGTTGGAGTTTGAGGAGAGGATGGGCGAGGTGTGGGAAGGTGGATGGAGGAGACGGTTTGTGGTGGAAAAGAGAAGCGGGGGTTGTCCTTGGGACGTCCTCCTGACGTGAAAGGCGCTTTATAAATGGAATCTTGTTGTTGTTGTTGTTGTTGTTGTCCTTTGTCTCCAAGATAACCTTGGAGTAGAAGGAGGATTTGGCGGAGGCAAGAGCGCAGCAGTAGGTTTTGTTGTGGTGAAGCCACATCTGCTGATGGACCTTGGATGTGGTCCAGGCGCGTTTGGCAGTTCGCACTTGTGCCTTGAGGGAATGGAGATGGCAGGTGTACCAGGGAGATTTACGGGAGTATGAGGCAGTTCGGGAGGTGAGGGGGTCAAGGGAGTCCAGAATGGAGGAGAGGGAGTTGTGGAGAAAAGAGAGTGAGGAGGGAAGATCGGTCAGGGAGGGCCAGAGGTGAAGGAGTTCAGATGACTCCAAGGCAGCGGAGAGGGAGAGGGAGGAAACATTTTTCCATGGACGGTACGTGATGGTGGAGAGTTGAGAAAGGGGAAGGGGTACAGAGGTGTTGAGGGAGATGAAGTGTTGGTCCAAGATGGCTTTATCGATGATGGTGATGTCCGCCTTGGGACGTCCTCCCGATGTGAAAGGCGCTGTACAAATGTAATCTTGTTGTTGTTGTTGATGTCCGAGACGGTGAGGCCCCGGGTGACTACCAGGTCAAGGGGGTGGCCACGGACGTGGGTGGGGGAGTGGATGAGGAGGGAGAGGTTGAGGGAAGAGAGGAGGGAGAAGTCGGCAGAGGTAGAGCAGGAGGGGGTGAAGTGGAGGTAGAAGTCACCTCGGATTAGGAGGCTATATCAAATGCAAGGATTATTTTTTATGATCGGGAGGTGTGTTTTTAAAATTACATATCAAGACATTCTTCTGTAATTTGCAGATGTTTAGGTTGGAATAAATGGCTTAAAACGCCTATACCGTATGCCATGAATTATGAAATAGCTGGAAATGTAAGGGTTATTTGTGGGAAAGCATTCCTGTACATGACACACATTAATTAACACACCATAAAGATTTACAGCAAATGCAGAAGTGACTCACTCAGTGTGTGGCTGTGGTGGGGATTTACATATATGTTTATTTAAACATTTAGAAACCAACTGAACTTGTCTCTGATGTGAATATTTGTGTTATGAAAACTGCCTCCAACTGTAAGGTTTTTGGGGGGAGGGAGGAATGGTGAAAACGACACTGCTGTGTGCAATTCGCTGGTGCGTTTTGCATACAAAATATAGTCAATCCACTTCACAGTATACTGTGTGAAGCGCTTTGAGACATCTCGAAGACGTGATAAGGCGCTATATCAAATGCGAGGATTATTATTATTATTAACCGCAAGTGTTATTGAAAGGGCATGAGGCCATTCTAGGTTTAATAATAATAATCCCTGCATTTGATACGGCGCCTTATCACGTCTTCGAGGCGTCTCAAAGCGCTTCGCAGGATATACAGTAAAGTGAATTGACTGAATACTCTGTGGGTGAAGCGCGGCGGCCGATTGCGCAGCAGTGTCCCGCACACAGCCGCGGGTTGAACGACCACATTATTATCCGTTTATTGGACTGTGTATTGTGTATGTGGAGTGACAATCGTGTGTAGTGAATGTGTTATCATGTGGGAGACTGTAAACAATGCAATAAAATGGGAACTGTGCCATTTGCCGAGAACCCACCGTCAGTGCACAGCCACTGCAGCAGATCAGAAGCTTCTTTGGGAGGTCGGCGGAGCAGTGCGTCCTCTGAGGGTTTAATTACATTGAGAGTTGCAAAAAAAAGTCTTTGTTTTTATTTCCCAACTTTACCACAAACGTATTTTAGTAAATATACACATATGTTTGGCAAATAAACACCGGAGCTGTGGGGCTGTGGGGCAGTGTCTGTGGTGGAATCAAACACGTGGACAGTATATTTAAAACAGAGGGGAGTGGGAGGGCTGAGGGAGGGAGGGGAGGGCTGAGGGAGGGAGGGAGGGCTGAGGGGGGGGAGGGAGAGGGGGGGAGAGGGAGGACTGAGGGGGGGGGAGGGCTGAGGGGAGGGGAGGGCTGAGGGAGGGAGGGGAGGGCTGAGGGAGGGAGGGAGGGCTGAGGGGGGGGAGGGAGAGGGGGGAGAGGGAGGACTGAGGGGGGGGGAGGGCTGAGGGGAGGGCTGAGGGAGGGAGGGGTGGGCTGAGGGGGGGGAGGGAGGGAGGGCTGAGGGAGGGAGGGGAGGGCTGAGGGGGGGGAGGGAGAGGGGGGGAGAGGGAGGACTGAGGGGGGGGGAGGGCTGAGGGGGGGGAGGGGGGGGAGGGAGGGGAGGGCTGAGGGGGGGAGGGAGGGGGAGGGCTGAGACCACAGCCTTAAAGCCAACGCTCACACCCACCGCCAGCAAACAGCCACAGCGCCCAGAGCAGCAGCACTCACAGCCCCCCCAGAGCAGCCCCCAGAGCACCCAGAGCCCCCCCCCCCCCCAGAGCCCCACCGAGAGCACCCAGAGCCCCCCCAGAGCCCTCCCCAGAGCCCCCCCCAGAGCCCCCCCCAGAGCCCCCCCAGAGCCCTCCCCAGAGCCCCCCCCAGAGCCCCCCCAGAGCCCCCCCCAGAGCCCCCCCCAGAGCCGCCTCCGGGGGTCACAGTCACCGCATTAGGAACTTGTCTCCATCTGCACTTTCCAAAGTATATTTTTAAGAAAGTCACATTTGAGAGCGACGCCGCTGTCGGGGCCGCACAGCGCGAGAGGGTTCTGGTGTGGAGGTGAGTTGAGGGATGTGTTCGGGGAAGAGGTTTCTGAGGGTTTTGGTGCTTTGTTTACACTAAAAAACAATTGAAAAATCAACAGAAATCCGAACCTGCGCTGTGTCTCGGGATGTGATTTAAACGCTGTAGTTTTTAAGTTCCGATTGGAAACCCTTTCGTGGTCCTGTTTACAGGGGGAATGGGGGGGGGGAGGGGGGGTCGGGGGGGGGGGATTGTGGGAATGGGGGGGAGGGTTGGGGGGGTCTGGGGGGGTTTGTGGGGTGGGGAGAGGGTGGGGGGTCTGGGGGATTGTGGGTGTGGGGGGAGGTTGGGGGTGTGTGGGTGGAGGGGTTGGGGGAGGGGGTGTGGGGGGGGTGGGGGGGGGGGGGTGTGGGGGAGAGGGTGGGGGTGTGGGGAGAGGGTGGGGGTGTGGGGGGGGTGGGGGGCTGTGGGAGAGAGGGTGGGGGTGTGGGGGGTTGTGGGGGTGTGGGGGAGGGGTGGGGGGGTGGGGGGGTGGGGGGAGAGGGTGGGGGTGTGGGGGGGGTGGGGGGCTGTGGGAGAGAGGGTGGGGGTGTGGGGGGGCTGTGGGGGAGAGGGTGGGGGTGTGGGGGAGAGGGTGGGGGTGTGGGTGTGTGTGGGGGTTGTGGGAGGGTGTGGGGGAGAGGGTGGGGTGTGGGGGAGAGGGTGGGGGGGTGTGGGGGGGTGGGGGTGGGGGGGGGTTGTGGGGGTGTGGGGGAGAGGGTGGGGGGGTGTGGGGGGTTGTGGGGTGTGGGGAGAGGGTGGGGCTGTGGGGGAGAGGGTGGGGGGTGTGGGGGTTGTGGGGGTGGGGGGGGGTGTGTGTGTGGGGGGGGGTTGTGGGGGGGTGGGGGGGTTGTGGGGGTGTGGGGAGAGGGTGGGGCTGTGGGGGAGAGGGTGGGGGGGGTGTGGGGGGTTGTGGGGGTGGGGGGGGGTTGTGGTGTCTGAAACACGAGTAAAATGGGAAGGAGTAGTCAGTAATGTCTGTGAGTGATGTGACAGTGAGTACAAACTCCGGGGATTTCCGAAGCCATTGGATGTTCACAAATAATCCTTATTTTTGCTTTTAAAAAAGTTTTATTATTTTGTAAATGTTGAGTTCCGAGTGAGTGAATAACCCGAACCTCAGGGCCGTTTGTACCGTATATAACTATTGGTAAATACACTTTGCAAATGCGTCAGAGGTTTTGTGAACTGATTTTTTAAAAAAAAGTTGTTTAGTTCCTTCAGGAGAGGATGTGTGAGGGGGGGGGGGTGAGGGGGGTGTGTGAGGGGGGGGGGTGAGGGGGTGTGTGAGGGTGAGGGGGTGTGTGAGGGTGAGGGGGTGTGTGAGGGTGGGGGGGGTGAGGGGGTGTGTGAGGGTGGGGGGGGTGGGGGGTGTGTGAGGGTGAGGGGGGTGTGTGAGGGTGGGGGGGGGTGAGGGGGTGTGTGAGGGTAGGGGGGGTGTGAGGGTGGGGGTGTGTGAGGGTGGGGGGGTGTGAGGGTGGGGGGTGTGAGGGTGGGGGAAGAGGATGTGTGAGTGTTGGGGGGATGTGTGAGGGGGGGAGAGGATGTGTGAGGGTGGGGGGGATGTGTAAGGGGGGTGAGGGGGGTGTGTGAGGGTGGGGGGGATGTGTGAGGGGGGGGAGAGGATGTGTGAGGGTGGGGGGGATGTGTGAGGGGGGGAGAGGATGGTGGGGGGGATGTGTAAGGGGGGGGTGAGGGGGGTGGTGAGGTGGGGGGGAGAGGATGTGTGAGTGTTGGGGGGATGTGTGAGGGGGGAGAGGATGTGTGAGGGTGGGGGGATGTGTGAGCGGGTGGAGAGGATGTGTGAGGGTGGGGGGATGTGTGTGTTGGGGGGGTTGTGTGAGGGTGGGGGGAGAGGATGTGTGAGTGTTGGGGGGGGGGTTGTGACAGGTGGGGGGGGTGGGGGGGAGAGGAGGAACAGGATCAGAAGGCTCTCAGGAGAGAGCGTGTGGGGGAGGGGGGGGTTGTGGGCGGAGAGAGAACAGGATCTGTTTTGTGTTTACATGCGTGTGTGTGAACTGGCGTGTTGTGAGAGATGTGACGGTGTGTGTGCTGTCCTCCAGCCCGGAGCCCAGAGCCGGGAGCCCAGAGCCGGGAGCCCAGAGCTCAAACCCGGGAGCCCAGAGCCGGGAGCCCAGAGCCGGGAGCCCAGAGCTCAGAGCCTGGAGCCCAGAGCCCAGAGCTCAGACCCGGGAGCCCAGAGCCGGGAGCCCAGAGCTCAGAGCCTGGAGCCCAGAGCCCGGAGCCAGAGCTCAGACCCGGGAGCCAGAGCCCGGAGACCCGGGAGCCCAGAGCCCGGAGCCCAGAGCTCAAACCCGGGAGCCCAGACCCGGGAGCCCAGACCCGGGAGCCCGGAGCCCGGGAGCCCGGAGCCCGGGAGCCCGGACCCGGGAGCCCGGACCCGGGAGCCCGGACCCCGGGAGCCCAGAGCCCGGAGAGCCGGGAGCCCAGAGCCCGGAGCCGGGAGCCCAGAGCCCGGGAGCCCAGAGCCCAGACCCGGGAGCCTGGACCCGGGAGCCCAGAGCCGGGAGCCCGGACCCCGGGAGCCCAGAGCCCGGAGAGCCGGGAGCCCAGAGCTCAGACCCCAGAGCCCAGACCCCGGAGCTGAGCCCCTGAGGGTAACATTCTTTTACTTTCCATTTTTTTAAAAAAAGTTTGTTGCAAACCCGCCCACACGTGGAGCTTCATGTGTACTCTGTGGGTAATCCATGAACACAGCACAAAGGTAGAATGACTGTCTCCTGTTTGCACCTATTGTGTGAATCGAGCAAAATGGCACTAATTAGAGTGTGAAATTACTTTTCTCAAATGTAACCAGGATACGAAAACCCAATAGAAGACGGCATGAAGATCAACCTTACATACCTGAGGCTGACCCACCGCCTCCGCCAGTTTAGTTTAGTTTAGTTTAGTGGCTCTGCCACTGTTAAGCGCTCTGAGACGCTATCTGCTTGGAGGGCGCTATACAAGTGAAAGTTGTTATTGCTGACTTGCTCAGGCACTCAGTCCCTGGTGTGTGAACCTTCAGGTGATCAGCCTTCCCAAGCCAAATGGCACTAGAAACAGTAGCAGATAAAAAATACTTTTTTTGCAGTTTTTATAACACTGAGCCTCACAAACTTTGTGTAGGGTGTAGTGACTGTAAGCGAAGGTTGCAAAGTCGTGTTCTGCAAACAGTCCTAATGTGAATGAACAATTTAATCTGGAGGATTGTAGGCCAGGAAACCAGGAGAAACTCCCTTCCCAGATGGTTGGGAGTTGAGGTTCAATGCAGAGTGATTCGGTCTTTGATTTCCAAGCTGTTCTTCACTCTGCTTTCCAATATATTAAATCCTCAGTGTATCGTCTGATCTGTTGACTTTGACTTTTTAAAAAAATGATTTGCCCGTTATGGATGGATGTAAATGGTCTCTCTCACATCCCCTCCCCTTGACTCAAAGTGTTTAGCCTCCCCCACCCGCTTGGTGCCTTTCCAGGTTCCTTGCCCAGGTGGGCATTCTTCATCACAATAACCTTTGTATAATCTGACACATCACCTCGGTGAGCCATCTCAAAGCACTTTGTAGGATTTTACTGTCAAGTGTAGTGACTGTCTTTGCAGGCGAACACAGCAGTGAATTTGCACACACCGGTCTTCCACAAACAGCTGTGAAGTGAATGACCAATTTTATTGGGAGGTTGTCCGGGACACCAGACATTCTCTTCTCTCCCATCAGTGACGGGATCTTTAATGCCTTTCGGGTCTGAAATGCTGTCACTGTGCAGCACTTTGGGATGTCCTCCCGACACGAAGGGCACTACACAGATGTAATCGTGTTGTTGTTGTACCTGAACAGGCAGATGGGACCTCGGTTTAAAGTCTTATCCGAAGGTCAGTGGTTAAAAATGCAGCGCTCACTCCCAGCACTGCACCGATGTCAGCCGAGGTGGTGAGGACATACTGTGAAGTGTAGTAACTGTGCATTTTGTGGGCAAATCTATCGAAGAGAATGGAGGAGGGGCGCTTGAATAACTTTAAATGAAATAATGGAAATTGAATATTAAATGTTTAATTAATGCCATTAAATGCCCGTTTGTAAATTAAAAGCTTCACTAAAACTGAACATGAAATAAAGTGTAGAAGTCGGTGGTGGTGGTACACACCTCTTTGAAGGGGTTTGATTTCAAGATCCTCATCCTCACCTACAAGGCCATTCACGGCCTCGCTCCCTCCTACCTCTCCAACCTACTATCCCCCTCCCTACCTGCCCGTACCCTCCGTTCCTCTGGCTCCGGTCTGCTCCACGTCCCCCGCCCCAACCGCCCTACCATCGGTGGTCGGGCCTTCAGCCTCTCAGCCCCGAGGCTCTGGAACTCCATCCCCAGTGCCTTCGCCGCTTCCTCCCTTTCCTCCTTCAAGGCCGGTCTCAAAACCTTTCTCTTTGACCGAGCCTTCAGCTCCCCTCTCGACTCTCTTCCCCCTCCTCGCTCCCTTCCTTCCCTCCCCTCACCCTGACCATTTCCCCTCCTCTCTCCCTCCCTTCCCTCCCCTCACCCTGACCATTTCCCCCTCCTCTCTCCCTCCCTTTCCTCCCCTCACCCTGACCATTTCCCCACTGCTCGGGTCCTGACCCAACTGTGCAGCGCCTTGGGACGTCCTCCTGACGTGAAAGGCGCTCTATAAATGGAATCTTGTTGTTGTTGTTGTTGTTTTGGTGGTTCAAAACCCTGAGGGGGAAGGAAGAGAGAGGGAAGGGGTTAGAGGAGGGAGGGAGGGAGGGAAGGGGTTAGAGGAGGGAGGGAGGGAGGGAAGGGGTTAGAGGAGGGAGGGAGGGAGGGAAGGGGTTAGAGGAGGGAGGGAGGGAGGGAAGGGGTTAGAGGAGGGAGGGAGGGAGGGAAGGGGTTAGAGGAGGAGGGAGGGAAGGGTTAGAGGAGGGAGGGAGGGAGGGAAGGGGTTAGAGGAGGGAGGGAGGGAGGGAAGGGGTTAGAGGAGGGAGGGAGGGAGGGAAGGGGTTAGA